TAAACCTCTCGTGGCCAGCGGAGGTTTGGGGGGGACCAAAAGGAATCAACCACCTGAGAATGTGGATGTGCATAAATGCATGCCTACAGCACGTGCATTGCCAAGCCTTCATTTTTGAGCGGCCTTAGAAGGTCGGGACACCAAGTGCTTGCTTTTGGTTGGCTCCTGGTTTTTGAGTACTGTCAGGCGGCTTGAGAGGTGAGTGGAACCTACTTGCTGATGCGTCGTTTGCTCTACACTCATGATATCGGTTCCAACTGGGACTAGGATGATATTGGGCCGTAATCTTGGCTCTGAGCTCATGTGTGACTTTGCCTCAAGAGATGTCCATGGTTTCCAGGAGCCGGAGTTTCGCTGGGACCAATGTTGAAAGACCCGTCATGCGCATCGATGGCCTAGGCTGATTGTATACGTCCACAACCCATGTTGGGCTTTTGAGGGCTGCAGCCATACCTTGCTGGTTCTCAGTGGGGAATTAGCAGGGGTTGGGAATGAACCTAGGGACCCCCTCAAAGGAAACCATAAGGGAGTGACCCTCATTCCCTGAGCACCAGCAAGATACTTTCCTGAGTGCTTCACTTTAAAGCCTGGAGGTACAGAAACACCGAACCCAATGGTAGCCGGAACCACTGGCAATGGTTGGAGCGTGTACTTGTTTTTCGTGGACGGTTGCCGCCAACTCACTTTAATGCATTTTTTCTGGCATCGCGCGAGCGTTCTTCTTGGGATTGTAACGTTTGGGGTTCCATTCGAATTAGTGAAGTACAGTCTGCCAACAGCACACATCCTTTGGATATCATTCTGAGCTCCACATCAAGCTTTGTGTTCAAAGGGAAGCCTGGAAATTTGGGGGCCCTTTGGCACACGTTCTGTGGGAATGGGCCACACCCGGCACAGCAACGAGGTGTTGCATTGTGCGCCACGGCTACGAAGAAGGACGCCTCGCAGGAACTGGCCAAGTGTGGCTCCCAGAGTTTTCCGGGGACTCAAACTCGTGTCACCCGAGCTCCTGGACTTATTTTTTATTTTTCGGCAAACCGATTTCGGCACACTGAACTTGGCCAACCAACACATTGCTGTGGTGCAAAGCGATAGAACTCGCGGCCAAGCCGAGAAGGCGAGTGGTGACTTTTTCCCATGCCAAGCGGTCCAGCGACGTCCAGCGATGCCTCGATGGGACTGAGGAAGTCCGAGGTGCCCGCGGATCTCGACTGGAGCCAAGTCTCATCTCAGTGGGAGGCCGCGTTCGCTCGCCATTTGTGCACGGCATGGGCTTCACGCCCGGGAGGAAATAAAGGCTTCGTTGCATTAGATATACTACGTATATAATTTTATATCATATTCTATATGTAATATATATATATATATATATGATATGTATTCTATGTGTGTATATATATATATATCTGTATATGTTCCAGGCCGTGGACGGGGGAGGGGGGGGAGTGGGGTTGGGTGGGTGGTTTGGGTTTGTTTAAGGTTTATTTGGGGTGGGTTTTCGTTGGTTTAGGGTTGGCTTGGGGTTGGTTTGGGGGGTTGTGGGTTGAGTTGTCCTACGTGTCGGGATGCAAGGGTGCAAGTTCAGGGGCTTGAGGAGGGTGTCTGGGGACCGTAGCAGCGGGGTGTGGACTCGTGGGCTCGGGGTTGGGGCGAGGGGGGGGGGGACCCTACCCTTGCGTGGGGGGGGTGTCCTGGGGACTGGAACTAGATATACTATGTTATGTAGATATATATATATATATATGTATGCACAGTGCGTAGAATGATAACAATGAACAAGTTCTTGCTATGCAATTTGCACCATGGACTTTTGCAATGTACGAAAATCGATATAGATATGTACGCAAGCATATATATTTGTATATATATATATATACGTAGCAAGCGCGCGCGAGAGAGAGAGAGAGAGACCGAGACAGGGAGAAATGTGTGGCGTGACGTCTGACAAAAAGAGCTGACCCTTGCTCTCGTTTCCAGTCAATGACTCAACGCACTCACTGCCTGGTTCACCAAGGGGGGCTATACTATGGGGAGGCTATCACCAGTGAAACCCTTGAGGTCTTACTGGGGCTGGGCTCCAGGATCTTCCCTCCCATAGCCGAAAAATGGCCCTTGGAGGTCTAAACCCTGCGCCAGGTTGATTGTTTCAGCCGGCCCATCATGCGCGATGGCAAGAAGATGTGGGAGCCAGCCTGGCACATTTGGATGCTCATCAGGCTTCGAGCAAAATGAGGAAGCAGCCACCCGTTGGCCCCCGCTGGCCATTTTAGTAAGTGGTTCTACTACCTGGCTTTATATGGGATATCCTATGATCCATGTAATAAACCCTGTTGTAACCATCTGAACAAAATCAGCATTCGGTTGGTTTTGGGCGCCCCTGAAATGGCAAATCCATAGGCAAGTTGTGTGTGGCTTCCTTTGGTTTCCGAAAGAACGGGTCGAGCAGAGTTCTTTGGGTTCCCTGGCTTTCCTCTCAACTTGTTACCCTTCCGATCAAAATTTCGTCCTTTTAGCACAGCCAGGAGGTTCCCGAAAATGGGAAGCCTCGACCAGGGACATTGGTTGCAGGAAGCACGATGTCGCTATGAAGGTGACGTGTCGAAGCTTTGGATATATGGTCACCAAAAGGAAGTCAGTGCTCTCGCGTTTTTGGTTGAGCACCTTAGCATTGGAACCAGGCTCAGGGAATCTGTGAGCAAGTGACAACGTATGTTTATGGTATGTAGTTTGGTTTCTTCGGTTCTCTTCCTCTTAGTGGGTGGCTGCATGTCATCTAGCAAAGATTGAGCACATGGGGGGGTGACCACTACCCCCATGAATCAATGAAACGACTCTCCCTTTTTCTTGCTGAATAGCCCATGCTGCTTAGAAGGCACCCCGTTTGAAGTAGGGGCAACATTTGTTGTTGGGGCCAATCAATCCTGAGTAAACATTTGCCAACTCGGCAGCTCCAGGAGCGACGCAGCCTGAGTATTCCCCTATCCAAACTGGGAGATTGCGCTGAGTGATGATACCTCCAGAGAATCACGCCAGAACTCCTAGCGCTAGCAAGGAACGCAGAAAGCCAAAGCTCTGACAACTGTCACGATTCCCACTGTATTGCCATAGAGTAGCTGTGGCCTTCGGCCATTGGTCCCCAGCCCCAGCCGGTTTCTGCACAGCCAGTCAGCTGATCACCCGTCAAGTCATGGGGATGGTTCATGTGTCCGGTTCCCTTTCCATGGGCCTATGTCCCGTGGTTTGCCTGAGCTGTCCGAGAGACTTCTGACCAAAGCCCCAAGACATATGAGGCCTTGTTTGGAGCTTACCCCTAAGCTCTGATATGTGGGTGTGGGCCTCTCAAATTAACGAGCCAGGGCCAGCCGCAGGTAGTCTTTGGCTCCACTTCACCAAGGTCTCATTTTGGAATTCATGTCTTTGAGCCACAGCCATCTGATCCTGGTATGTTCCCGGGGTGCGGGACAACCTTTGATTCTACCGGGGATCGGCTTCATTCTACCTGTCAGCTGCCTTTCTCGATGCCAGGCTTATGGTCACCGATGCCAACGGCGTGTACCGCAGAGTCCCCGGCCCCAGATAACAGGAGACTACCCGCCATCCCACGAACAGAACTAGGTCTCCCAGTAGTGCCCTTTTACCAACTTTTTTGGGGGAGGGTCCCCCTACTAAAATAGACTACAGAAAACAGGGTACCCTTATTCTAACCTCTCAAATCTGGAGGACCTAGAGAAGGCAACTGTGGCAGGGTACCTGGAACCACAAGCCGTTTGGAGGGACCTCCTTTCAGGTGCTACGCAAGTTGAAGGGAGACCAACTTCGCACCCCAACTGGAACCAATTCCAGCTGGGGTTCGAACCACCTTGGCCAATCACCTCAGATGTTGTTTCCCTTTGAGCTTCCATTGCGCTGACTCTCATCAGGGCAAGCCAGACAGTTGTCGCCTACTTGGTTAGCTTTGTGCAGTCATGGAGCGGTCATTAAATTAGAAGAAACACAAAACTGCATGCAGGGGCTCCTGAATGCTTGCAATGGGTCCGAGGTGTATGACTCGTTGGTGCAAGTGGTGGAGAATGAGAGTTTCAGTATGCGAATGATAAACCGGTTGTTGCTTCCGCTGTGCTAGATAGAGCACATGGTGTTTGCGTGCCCTCGTACTTGTCTGCCGCCCGGCCTGTGTGTTGTTGGTCTATGTAACAAGGGGCCCCACAAATGTTAGAATCCCCGCACATGCAAGAAGAGGTTTCGGATGTTAGAGCACTTGCAAGGTCTTTCAAACAACCCAACTGTATAGAAGATACCGACAGATACCTCCGACGCGGAAAAAGGTGCCCAGATGTTGTGACCAACCCCAACCTGTGCTAAGACACGGGGCTTCCAACAGGCCTCATTTAGATTGTTCTAAATGGGGAACCCCAACATCTTCTAGGTCCCCCAGTAGAGAGGTTAGAATAAGGGGGGAACCCTCCCCCCAAAAAGTTGGTAAAAGGGCACCTAGCTGGGGGACCTAGTCTTTTCTTTCCCCCTGGTTTCCGATTAAAAGGCCCTCCAAAAATATAGAATTTTTCAATGGACAAGAGCTGTGGATGTCTGGGCCTCCGGGAAACGAAAAGGTCCCACCCCCCTTGGACCCCTTCTTTGAGCATTCCGCACGAGCGGAATCGAGCGGGAGCTGAGGTAGCGCAGATGAAGCCAACCCGAGTCAACTCCGTGGTGGCCGGGAGCTTGGCGAGCCCCATGGGCGGTCAACCTACTTGTCAGGTACCCTTAGTCTGTGGTTCGTGCATTCTGGGGAAAGGTACCCAAACCCAACCAACCAAGTACCAGGTAAACTTAGTCGGTGACCATGGTAAAGGGTTTTACCCCAGCCCCCCAGTTGTGACCTTAAGTCAGTTGAACATCCAGGCGCCATTTTCAAAAGACTAACCCAAGGGGGGGGAGGCTCCGTCAAAGAACGGTCCCTTTGAGGTTGCTGTTGGAGAAATCCAAATGGCACCCGTTGGATGAAAGCTTCCGGCTTCCCCAGAAAGGGGCCGGCCAGGCGTCCTTGGCGGAGTTTGGTTGAAAGTAGACGCCGCTGGTTCCAATTTGACTCGAAGCCGCCAGTGCTCTCTATTATTTTCAACAGGACAATCTATGCTTGAGGCCGCATGGGGGCCCCATGATGACAGCAGCTGGGTGGCCCGGGCCTTTCCCCAACGCTTGAGGTGCAAAAGCTGATGACCATCTTCATCGAGGAGTCCAAGGTCAAGCCGCAGGCGAATCATTTTACATTTCACCAGTGACTCAAAGTGAAGCAAACAAGAAACTATACATTCTGTAACTGGGCCTAACTCTAGTCATGCCCAGCAATTGGACTTTCAACTTGATTTAATAAGCACAAAGTCTTTTGCGTTTGATTGATCAAATCTAGATTTCGATGGCTCAGCATGCTTCCGGTAAGCTGCCAAGCCACACAACTTCTTGAATGGAAGCCAAAAGGGCACCAACCACCCAGGAGGAGTCTCCACTTTTGAGCAGGGCCTATTTGAAACATGGCTTTTTCCACCAAAATAAAGGGGAAACCACCATTTACAAGGCAATGTTCAGGTGTATAATGTAAGGATCCCCGTTGAGACATACCCATTGGATCTATTGGGGTAAAGGCAATTCACTTTGATGAGCATCTTAGGCATGTTCCAGCGAGTATGTTATTTCCACTACTCCCGAGCCACTATCCCCAAAGCGGTGGATATCCTCGTAGATTGCTTCTCACTGTGCCCAGTCGATCCGCTTCTTCCGCAAAGTCATGAAGCCGCTTGGCTGCGAGACATTCGGAGCGGCAGGAGCTGACAGAGATTTGGCAACGCGTAGTTGCAAATTAGTGGTGTCTTTCAAGAGAACGTGCTGCCTCGGACATTCTGATCTAGCACCATGTGAAAAGTACCGGCGCAGCTCGCAGATGCATAATACCCTCCCTTGGTCATTGGTCATGCTGCTATCTCAGGAATGACCCTGTCTCTTTTAGGAGGCAGTACATGCTGCCAGCCCCTGAACAAATGCTCATCAATGGCTCAATGTCGTCATTGTCATCCCTTGATCAATAAGCACCCCAACCCCAACGCTAAATCAGGCAGGTCCCCCTGAAGAGAACCAAAGCCACGCTACATTGATTCCTGTTTTATTGGGGAGTTGTGAATCAGGTTCTTCATGTGAGCGACTGCAAAAGACTAATTATAGTCAAGGCCGGCTGGGTCGAAACACTGTTTGTGTAACATACTGAATTAGGTGCAAAACGAGGTGGGAATACCCCCAAAACGATTCCATGACATAGGCGCTTGAGATCACCAACACGTGCGGTGTTGGACAAAATCGAGGTCAATGAGTCGGGTCGGAGCACGAGCTAGGAGCACCCGACCATTCAACAACGTAGCAAGCCGCTGCCGTAGCGCATGTTTGTATTTAGTTCTTTGCCTTTTTGATTCCGTTCTTTAATTCAAGTAGGGGGCTGCAACAAACAAAGTTTGTTGATACCATACCAAGGGTTGGAAAGAAATAGTACACTTGGTCTGCTCGAAAGCACCTAAATATCCCACCACAGAGAGTTCGGCATTGGCAAACAGAGAGTTTGCCCAGTGCAAACCCAACCTTCCATTTGCTGAAATGAATAGTTTGGTTTTCCCTTGTTAGTTTTAAAGTTGGAATTGATTTCACTACTGGACATGTTTTGTTTTTTTTCTTCCAGGGGATAGAAAAGCACATGGAACTGAGGAACATGCTCATTGTGGCTCTCAATGCTGTGAAGGCGTTGGCGACGCGTCAAGTCCGTGCATTTGCGCAATGCAAGAGGCAATGGGAACATGCTCAGCTAGTGATTTGAAGCCATGAAGAGAAGCGGCACCAAGCAGATGGTGTTGGAAATTCAGCCCAAAATGACGCCAACAACGCCAGCGTTGGCACAAAGGGAGTTTGCAAGATCCTGCTGACCGCATGTCACATCAGCACCACCATACATGTCTGCTAGTCTAAGCGTTTCTGTATTAAACCCTGAGATTGCACCTGAGACATGTCTCCAAGTGGGATTACTTTCACCCAGTTGCCGCCCTTTTTCCCCTTTGTTTTGGGAAAGGGTTCCCCTTTCAACTCAACCAACAAGAAAAATCGGGTGCCCTTTTTCCTTTTCTTCCCATGGAAGTCCACTGGGCATCTGAGCTCAGATGCGATGTGACTATGTCGGACCTGGGTCCTGTCCCAAGGGTCTAATCCGCCCTTTGAGCTGAAGCGCATCATGAAGATCTTAGCACAACTGATCGCCAGCTCGCCGAACGGGGGTGAAGCGAGCTCCACGATGGTCCCTTTTTCTGAAGGGGTTCCTTATTCCCACTGCAAGTTATAGTATTTGGAAGAGATGTGGCCTTTTTCTGAAGGGCTTCCTTATGTTCACGGTGCAAATTAGAATATGTTGCCCAGATTGACGATAGATGGCTCCAGGACAGCTTGCCACAGTACATGGAGAAGTGCAAGGTCATTCCAAGCAGGGCGCTGAGATGTGAACTGGACCCTCTCAAGCCCTCTTTGGCGAGTGCCCCCCACTAAAATCAACCCAAAAGCAAGGGTTCCCGTTTGCTGCCAAGGTCATTCAACAGTTGGGAAACCAAGGAAGCTATGAAGATTGCAAAGAAAATCAAGTACTCAAAGAAATTCGTACATGAAGTTACAAGTACTCAAAGTTACAAGTTACAAGTTACAAGTTACAAGTTTCTGGAGGCATTCTGGGATTTCCAGCGAAGATTCGTCCCAGTGGAGTCAAAGCGGGGTGTCGAAGCCGTTTGTTGGGTGGATTTTTGTATTCATGTGGCGAAGTAGTCACAAGCATGGCCCTTTGTATCGCATAAGCTGTTTTTGTTTTGTTCACAACATGATCATTGGAAGGTGCTCTTTGGGTCATGCTGTTTTGTCTCCAGCAAAACCCCATAAAGTGGGGGAGTTCCCTTTAGTTTTTTTTGTCTTTTGCGACCGCCTAGAAAGGCTGCCCGCAAAGCTTCAGGGCCACAACCACTTCTCATCCTGGCCAAATTGCGAGGGTTCCACTCAGTCACTCCTACCTGCGGGACTTGGTGACCCATCAGATCGCTCTCTTGAGGACCATCAGATCGCTTTCCGGGGTCCTTTAAGAACCCACCATTTTCGTGGGGGTCCTTTAAGAAGCCGTAGAACTTGATGGGGCGAATACGGAGGAACCAAACTGACACTTAAGGAAGCAAGTCCAAGTGAACCCAGGCCTTTGGTTGGCTCACCTTGCAGGGATGCCGTTTGATGCCGTTTGCCTAGGTCGAAACTGCCACATGCTGCGGCTATGGCTGTCTTATCGAGATCGCGAGGCGCGTGTGAAGAATTGAAGTCTTCAAAGGTAGAACCAGCTTGTCGGGGTCGTTTTTGGCCTTAGGCCTTACCCCTAACCCTTGGGTGAGTTTTTTGGGGTTGGTGTCGTGTTGCTTAGGGCTGCTTGGGGTCCTTGGTGTGGGGTGGCTGAGTTCAAACCTCAGACCTATGCAAGCTACTGATCGGTGTTTGTTTGGCTCGGTGACAGGAGATCTCCATGAATGGTGCCATTGTTCTTTTGGCGGGAAAGGCTAGGTCTATGGACTTGGGGATACTCCCCCCTTGCACGGCGTATTGCTCCATCCTACTTTTTAAAAATAGATCGTTGAGAAGCCTCTTTCGCTTCCAGGCTGGCCGCGGCTAGCCGCCAAAAGGCAATCCATGATCGATACACCGGGCCCGAAAGGGGTCGCCTTTGTAGTTAAGTCCGGGACTAAGGAAAATCCGATTGCGGGGATTCTGCAAGAAGACGCCTTTCGTGAATGTGAAGTTGATTGCTCACATTTGAGATCGTGAGCTCTTCGATTGATCAAGGCACCACAACTGATTTTGGCCCGTGTTCCATTCGGTGCATTGAAGGAGTTTTGTACAGTTTATGTAGGAGACACTCACAAGACTGCTTCGAACCTTTGCTAGCGAGCGTTTGTTATTTCTTTGAAGAACCAGCCAGTTGTGACACTCAGTCCCCCCAACTTCTCAGTGGGATAGTTCTGTGCCGAACCGCTGTGCCCCAAATAGCCTCGTATGCTCTGAAAACATCCCGCGGTGTTCCAGGTGTATCCCAAGATGATGGGATATTCGAAGCCCATGAAGAAGAAATCCACCAGCGTGCAGGCAGGGCGGGCGATTTGGGTCGGCGCGGGTGGCTGAATGACGCTTAGCCACCTGGGCTTTTCTTCAGATTCCCGTTTTGCTAGGCAACACGTTGTGACTTTTTTTTGGGATCGGGCGGCTCGCTCGGACCCGTCTGGTGCGGGGCCGTTCAAAAGTCTCCAGGCTTCGATGGTGAAGATGGCCTATGAGAAGCTGCCCGAGAGGACAGGAGCTTTCGGGTGATTTGGCCATGGGTCAAATTCCCGTACCCCCGAACATCCCAATCCCCACTAAAATAAACTGACATGGGTGGTGCACCTACCCCAAAATGGTACCATTGGTTTCGACCCAGCCATTTCGGCGTTGTTCCAAAGCCGAGGGCCCGTTCGCCGATCTTATGGCGATTTGGTTACGGATCTTTGGACACCAACTCTTTGGTTGCAACTTTGTGCATTTTCGAAATGGGGTTACAACAAGTTAACTCACTTGTTGCAGAGGGGTCGTTACCGACAGCCGAGAAGAAAAGGGCCAGTTTAGGAGGTTCAACGATCTGGGATAGCAAGGCCTACATAAATTATCTAGCCGTGGGTAAAAGTCGCGGGTTTTGGGCACGGCTCATTTGTGCCACGGTTTAGTTGGGGTTGGTAGGGATGGTTTGTCACCGTATAATATGGGTTTTGGGCAACTAACTGGGCTACGAAGGCTTGGATTGAGGAGTTTTGGCCATGGCATATTTGGGTATGTCTTCTTTCCAAGGGCCCCACTGCAATTGTGGGTTGCCTTCTTCACTTTGCAAATAAAACCACCCGGACAGAAGTACTGGAGCTCGGTGCCCATGTCGGGGCGTGTCTCAGCGGAAAAGGAAGGGAAACCGTGGCTTTCCCTCGCCATGTGCCAACTGAGCCACAATCAAAACCGGGGAAAGTGAAGGTTAGTAAGGGACGATCCCAGCCATAAATGGCTGCGGCCGCCTTCTTAGTTCTTTGCATGGTTCTGGGTCGACCATTTGTGTACTGGGTTTTGATTGCGACTGAACTGAGCTATGATCATGGCGATTCCATGGGGGGAAGCACTGAAGAACAACATTGGGACGGGTTCTTGGATGCGATTCCATGTGGGAAAGCGTGATTGGGACGTGGAGTGACTTTGCCCCCAGATTCTCACAACGGAAGCCTTGTTGACAAATTATACACAAGCGAAGGAGACACAAGCGAAGGAGGCCCCCCTCCCCCCCTGGAAAGGCCTTTGTTGTCCTCCCTAGATGGATGTGTCTTTCTCAGGCGACCACTGAACGGAGACTTATAACCATGGCTTCTGTAGGTTATCTCACCATGGTTATTGCCCACTTACCTGACGTACAATGCCCCTTTAAGTGGTGGTTTGTTAAGCAGCACAGCGTATAAATACAAGAGGTTCTTGCATGGCTTCGTGCATGCCTTTGAGCTGCCAACCAAACTCACAACCTGAGCTTGATGCGCATGGCGGGGGACGGCTCAAGATCCTCTTGCATGCTGTGTGTGTGTGTGTCTGTATGTGCAAGGTATGAACCTTGGAAATGGTCAGGATTCAAGTCAAGTCCATTCTAAAGGCAGCTGCCCAATTAACATTTGCTTGTCAGGTTTGTGTCTAGCAGGATGCACCCAGCAGAGCCTTCCCGCACCATGCAGGTGCATGTTCACTTGCCCAGTAGAGATGGTTGCTCCATAGCAGTTTCACCGAAAAGGCCCATCAGCGAGCTGACGGCTGCAGCACAGCAGCATTTCCAGCGGCGCTTGAAGCTCACTGCGAAAGGCCAGCAGCTCGATTTCGGGGCCACGCTCGGCGAGGTTGGGTTGCGAGACGGGGACGTGGTAGCTGCGGTTGCGCAGCTTGGCAAATTGGCTGCCACCCAAAAAGCGTTTGCTTTGCATGGCCAAGGTTGTGACCTGGGGATATCCAGCGCATGGCGGAGACAGTAGCCAGGTGCAAGAGCAGCTCAGGAACGTTCAGCGCATCCAAGCATCCCCGTGTGCTTTTGCTGCCATTCTCGAATGTGGGGCTGTTGTGAGCTGGGGTGATCGTCGACACGGCGCAGACAGCAGCAAGGTGCAAAAGCAGCTGAGGAACGTCCAGTACATCCAAGCATCTTATTTTGCTTTTGCTGCCATTCTTGAATCTGGGGCTGTTGTGACCTGGGGTCGTCCAGAATATGGCGGAAACAGCGGAAAGGTGCAAGAGCAGCTGAAGAACGTCCAGCACATCCAAGCAACTGACAATGGTGCTTTTGCTGCCATTCTTGAATCTGGGGTTGTTGTGACCTGGGGTGATCCAGAGTGCGGTGGAGACAGCAGCCAGGTGCAAGAGCAGCTGAGGAATGTCCAGCATATCCAGGCAACTGATCGTGCTTTTGCTGCCATTCTTGAATCTGGGGTTGTTGTGACCTGGGGTGATCCAGACGAAGGCGGAGACAGCAGCCAGGTGCAAGAGCAGCTCAGGAACGTCCAGCACATCCAAGCATCCCCGTATGCTTTTGCTGCCATTCTTGAATCTGGGGTTGTTGTGACCTGGGGTGATCCAGAGTGCGGTGGAGACGGCAGCGAGGTGCAAGAGCAGCTGAGGAATGTCCAGCATATCCAGGCAACTGCCGGTGCTTTTGCTGCCATTCTTGAATCTGGGGTTGTTGTGACCTGGGGTGATCCAGAGTGCGGTGGAGACAGCAGCCAGGTGCAAGAGCAGCTGAGGAATGTCCAGCATATCCAGGCAACTGCCGGTGCTTTTGCTGCCATTCTTGAATCTGGGGCTGTTGTGACCTGGGGCCATGCAGACTTCGGCGGAGACTGCAGCCAGGTGAAAGAGCAACTCAGAAACGTTCAGCACATCCAAGAATCTCGGGTTGCTTTTGCTGCCATTCTGGAATGTGGGGCAGTTGTGACCTGGGGTCGTGCAGACCAGGGCGGAGACAGCAGCCAGGTGCAAGAGCAGCTGAGGAACGTTCAGCACATCCAAGCAACTGACAATGGTGCTTTTGCTGCCGTTCTTGAATCTGGGGCTGTTGTGACCTGGGGTCATCCAGACTGTGGCGGAGACGGCAGCCAGGTGCAAGCCCAGTTGAGCTTGTAGTCTAATTTGGTTGTTTTATTCTATTGTAGATCGCGGAAGTCTGAGGCGCTGAAATGGATTTATAAATTTAGAGTGTAGATTTGGGGTGTACAAAGCGAAACCAGCGAAAAGGATGCAATGCTTGCAAAAGACCGATGGGACCCTTAAAATGGTAGTTTTCCTGTTGGCTTCCCGGTAAGTACCCTAACAGAAAGATGACACCCGGATGCAGGTTTTTCCTAGGGGACCCTCAAAATGGCCCTCAAAAAGAACCACCCTAAGTATCCAAAAAAAAACAACGAGACACAGATACAGTTGTTTTTTGTTGACCCTCAAAATGACCCTCAGAAAAACACCCTAAGCATCGTAACAGAAAAATGACACCCGGATGCAGGTTTTTTTAGGGGACCCTCAAAATGGCCCTCGAAAAGAAAGACACACAGATACAGTTGTTTTTGGGGACCCTCAAAATGGACCTAAAAAAACACCCTAAGTATCCTAACACAAACATGACAACCGGATGCAGGTTTTTCCTAGGGGACCCTCAGAATGGCCCTCAAAAAGAACCACCCTAAGTATCCAAAAAAAACAAAGAGACACAGATACAGTTGTTTTTTGTTGACCCTCAAAATGACCCTCACAAAAACACCCTAAGCATCGTAACAGAAAAATGACACCCGGATGCAGGTGTTTTTTAGGGGACCCTCAAAATGGCCCTCGAAAAGAAAGACACACAGATACAGTTGTTTTTGGGGACCCTCAAAATGGACCTAAAAAAACACCCTAAGTATCCTAACACAAACATGACAACCGGATGCAGGTTTTTCCTAGGGGACCCTCAGAATGGCCCTCAAAAAGAACCACCCTAAGTATCCAAAAAAAACAAAGAGACACAGATACAGTTGTTTTTTGTTGACCCTCAAAATGACCCTCACAAAAACACCCTAAGCATCGTAACAGAAAAATGACACCCGGATGCAGGTGTTTTTTAGGGGACCCTCAAAATGGCCCTCGAAAAGAAAGACACACAGATACAGTTGTTTTTGGGGACCCTCAAAATGGACCTAAAAAAACACCCTAAGTATCCTAACACAAACATGACAACCGGATGCAGTTGTTTTTAGGGGACCCTCAGAATGGCCCTCAAAAAAAGATGCAGTTTTTGTCGGACTTTCGGGGTGGCTTTTGGTTTCTGAAGCGGGAACCCTTCGCTACGGGAACCCTTCGGAAAAACACCCCAAACCTTTGTCCGTTGTCTCCTTTCGCGTACGCCAGGCTGTGCCAGGGTTAGGCTAATGCCAGGGCTATGCAAAAAAAAAAAAAACAGCTCAGCCTTCGGTTCCTTTGGCCAGAATTCGCTTCACCCGCTACGCCATCTCCGCGATTCCCCTGGGCGCATTGGCGCGGGTGAAGCCTGGGCACGGCGCTCAGCACTTACACGGGCCCGGGTGTAAGTAAGGCTGAGGGAGACTGGTCCGGCCGAAAAAACAGTGCCGCGTTTTCTGCATGGATCTCAGGAAGGGACACGGGCCAAGTTGACCTATTTGGTGAACTCTCGCACGGTGGGGGGGGGGTCCGAGAGGGGCCCTATTAGTTGCGCACCCCCCATATGTACGGTGCAGCGACCCTTCTGCGTGGAGTTGGTAAAGCTAGTCATGGACCTCTTGATCAGGAGTCTAGATAAACAATCGTGGTGAGCGGTTTCTATTACGGAAACTATCCATGACCGACATGTGTGTGTGTGTGTTTCCTAAACTGGGGGGGACCCTTCTTAAACTCGTTTTATGGTGAGGGACCAACCGCCAAGAGTAGAAGACCCGTTTTGGTTCTTGCGCATGTTTTCCTTTTGCCAGGGTCTTCTTGGAGCGACCGGCTCCTGCTTCGATTCGTTTTATGCTACCAGGCAGCTACCCGGGCAGCTGGCACGCATTCCCCCGGGTTTCAGCGACAACGCGCAGGCGAAGCTCGAGTCTCGCAACGCGCCGAGTCGGGCGAGCCGCAGCAGTGACTAGGTGTCCCTGTAGTGCCCTTTCTCACCCTTTTTTGGGGGAGGGTTCCCCAAGTAAAATAGACTACAGGAGAAAGAGTACCCTTATTCTAACCTCTCTACTCGACCTAGGTGAGTAACGACAAAGTCACTGGTATTACAAATTGGTTTGGGGGGAGGACATGGCGGGCCCGCCCGATGTTACCACGGCAACTCTTGGGGAGCTCGGGCTGACTTTCGACTTTCACCCTATTGGCAAAGTCAACTCATTAAACTTGGTAGTTTCCAGCCATCCGGTTGCTTAGCTGTTTAGCTTTTTCGATTTTAGTGGGGGGGGTTGGGGGGGGTTCCGTTGAACCCACTAAAAGTTGAGCACTTTTAACAGGGGATCTGAAAACGGACAGTTTAGTTTACAGGGGTTTTAAGTGAATTGACTTGAAGATGGACCCTACCGACAGAGCCTCGGTTCCTTCTGTCCGCTCCGCGCGCGATCCGCGCGCGCGATCCGATGGGGCCAGGTCTACGGCATCTTGATTCTTACGTCCAGAGCAGACAGCCGCGCCGGCCTGCTTCACACTGTTCGCGTGAGGTTCTGGTGGCTGTGGGTGAGGAGGTTCTTACAGACCCAGGTGTGTCAAAATAGATGACCCCTCGGACCTCAAATGGGTTCTGTCCTGTCGGCTTCCCACCGCCCTGCTCCAACAGAGAAGCGTCAACACCATTGAGTATCAAACACTTGCCTCAGTTTCTGGACTGTGAGCCTGAGAAGATTGTTTGGATAAGCCAAACTCGCGATTTTGTAAGAAACCAATTCACTCAAGCGAGAGAATCGCCAACCCAAGCTAAGTGTAGGTGGGTCCAACCTTGAGATCCTTTGTCTTTGCACCACCCGCATGCGCATGTTGACCACGCACTTTCTGTGAGGAACACCCTCCCAGAAAAGGTGGACAGAAAGCCCCATGTAAATTGACGTCCACCGAAGGAAATGTTTCTTTAATCGGCTCTGGCCGAATGTTTGCCTCGCAGTCATTTGCTCCACCCTGCGATCGATGGAGATGTCTGCGGCACTGCTCTCAGATTCTGACAGTGGCCAGAATCGCTCCACCAATTTGGGGGTAAAATGAGCGATAGAGGTGATGTAGTTCCTTTAGTTGGCGATGCCATAGTTCAGGTTTTGCAGTGGTTATACAAAATGCAGATGTCGGGAAGCATCCCAATTTAGGGGCCCTTCCACATGCATGTTCCCTTTGGTACAAGGGAAACAGTGGATGGAGCGTGTAGGGGGCTGGGAATGTGCAAACGTGAACGCTCCTTTTGTTTTGGATGCTCCTTTTATGGCTGTCGGGAATCCTCCCGCCGCAAGAGCTTTGGGCAAGGAGTACAGTGTGGCCGTTTGTTTACCAACTCCGCAGAGATTTTTTGTTCCCCCATGAGGATAATCAAAGAAAGACATTCCCGTCGGTGGACGTTAGACCGTCTTAGGATGCTGGGGCGGTTCGAGGGGGGTCCATTTCGATCCTCGTATTAAACGGGAGTGCCCTACTCAATGAGTAAATCAGATCGAGTTTCGGCTGCAGCAGGGGGGTCTGAGAGAACGAATTCTGAAGCAGGTCACTTAAAAAAGAAAGGCCAACCGCGGTAGATTTGCCAAAGTGTCGGAATCAAGCCATTTGAGGTAGCTTGTGTTGGTCCAGGAGTTCTATACTCTCAGGCAGCAGGTCGTCGTCATTTTGTTTGTTTGATCATATGCATCCAATGTGTTGAAGCCAGCGCCCAGCGCAGGTTTTTGAGGGATGCTGACGTGAGGTGAGGGTTGATCTGGAGACAGATGAGTTGCTCATGGAGCTGGACATTGACACCACGTGAGCCGGACTTTTGATTCGTCAACATGTTGATATCAAAAGCTCCGCCAGTAACATCGGTTGTCCCCCTCCCCATGTCCTCCCCCAAAACCAATTGGTCAGTTGATGCTAGTCAATTTGGGGATTGAGTTTAAAGGGTCCGCGATACATGGGACGACCATGAACTTGGAAAAACACGAGAAACATATTTCATACGTTTCCATACGGTAAAAGTTACCCATGGTCAAGACTGGGGGCCCTAAATGGAGCATTGATCAACCCCCCACATGGGCATGGCGCCAAAAGGTTAGAGGGCGGGACGTCCTGAAGGCTGCGATTTTCGGATTCCTGGGGGGCAGTGTTTGTTTCCGACCCGCTCCTTACTTTTAGTTAGAATCTACGTTGAACTTGATACATATAGTAAGTAGAATTCATAAGCAATAGCTGAGAGGTCCCGAATTTGTGAAATGCACGTGGTTCAAAATGTCTACTGATTTGAAAAGCCGATTCTATTGGAACGGAAATCCAGTGTGGCTGTAGTTTCGACATGGAACAATCGTTAGTTGAATTATATTTCAAAATATAAAACGGGTGGAAATTGTCCTTATTTAAATGCCATTTAATGCGAGATAGACGTCAGGTAAACTTGACAACTATATCAAGTAGCATGCACAAGGAAAAATAGCAATCTCAAAATGTTGAATACATATTCCTGTGTAACATCTTTGGAAGTATATAATCATTATTCACATTCTACTTTAACATATAAATTATGATTGGAGTCTGTCCTTAGAAATGTCTTTTTAATTTCAGCCAGAAATTAAGTAGACTTTGACAAAGCTATTAAGTCGCAAGGACAGAATTCACTGGTCTGGAAATCGTGTTTTTGTTGTTTACTAGCCCCAGCACTACCATGGTCACAAAACACCATAAAACACAGTGTGTTGTAGCGTTTTTCGTACTCGATTCGCATCTCCACCAACAGCCGCTTCTTAAAGTTTCAATTGGGACTCAATAAGGAAGTACTTGATTAGAATCCTAATGCGAATTGCATCTTACATTTAGACTCTAGACGGAGATCCTTTCCCAATAGAACGTTACAATTAAGTCAGAGTTAGAGTTTAAACATACTTTGAGTGAGGGGAAAGGAAGGTGACAGCATGATTCGAGCGAATTAAGGGATTCTTTTTCGCATGCTCGCCCACTCACCTCCCTTTGTCTCAGAGACTTGACCGCGAGACAGTTTGAGCGCGGGGAAAGGCGAAGAAAAAAACATTCCTCAAGGAACTCACGGCCGCAGACGGGAGATGGGAGAAGGAATGGCATAAGGAATGAATCCAATCACAAGTTCTTTGTTTTAATATCATTTGAATTAGACTGATTCCATTGAGAATGATAATTCTAGCCAACCCTAGGTCTCGAACACGCAGATGAAGATCATAATTTTGTTGTTTCTTGTTGCTTGGTTTTTGATGAAAGCCGCAGCCCCCAGGAATCTGAAAATCGCAGCCCCCCTGGCGTTTTTTGTTTGTTTGTTTTTTTGAAAGGGTCAGCGTTTATTTAAACGTCTGGGTCCGTAAGGGGCGCCTCAGTTACAAGTTCTTGGTTCGGAGCTTGCAGGTACAAGATCGCCCCGATCAACAATGAGGAGAAAGAGGGTTTCTTGAAGTTCGAAAGGCGGGCCTCTTGCCACTTTCCGGCCTTGCGGGACTGGCGCCGCGGCGAGTGAGCCGTTTTTGCCACTGGCAATGTATTTGTATGGTTGTGCAGCGGCAGTTTGAGAAAGGTGAGAAGGGGTGACGGCAAAATCCCTATTCAAAGCTAGGGGCCGAAGTGGGCCGAAACCAATTTTAGATCATACGAGTCGATGGGTGCTTCTCAAAATCTGGAATTGCTGCTGGGTCCTGTTGGTTTCCCTTCAAAGCAATGCAAGGTTTGCCTATTTGGATATGACTGTATGTCCCTTCTGGTTTCCCTCTCAACGACGCCAAAAAGGGTACACTCCCTCCAAGCATTGAAGCTGACAGAGTTTTGGAGGATCATGTTCAGCCCCCTTGTCCTCCTCCATTGCCATGCAAATGTTGCCAGGGTCCTCTTTGGGCGCTCCTTATATATCCGAGGACCCCTACCCCTTACATGCTTCGGACACCTCGCTCACGTTTTTTTCGTTGACCCCAAACCCTTCCCTGCTCCATTGAAAAGGGCATTCCTGTCTGTTTCGGTGAGTTTTAACGGGAACCTAAAGAACCACAGGCCGGGGTACGTCATGGTTGTTGTTGGGAAACATGTTACATTTTGCCCCCCACTTAGCTGCAAAAAATACCTGTTTGCTCCGCTTCCAACGTCAACCAAGACGTCACCACCTGCACTGAGCGCAGCGGCCAAGTGGCTCACAGCGCTCACAGCTCGCAGGTCCAAGCGGCAGCTGGGTGGCCTCCACTTCGTGGCACGCGGGCTCAAATGAATAGTGGAAAAATATGATTCTAGTTGTCCTTTTTGGTTGTTTTGGTTGTCCTTTTTGGTTGTTTTGGTAGAAAAATAGATGGGTTTCCCTGGTTTACCTGGTGCTTTAATCATCTACCAGGGCCATCTCTATTTGCCCTAAAAGGACACCGGTCACCTCAAATCCATCCGAAGCCTGGGGGGGTCGGATCGGCCAGTTCCCCTTTCGCGGGTTTCGCCAATGTGAGTCATGAATGGGAACCCGTCTTTTTTCCAATTTGCTGAACTTGGTGGCTCCCAGTCCGGTTGCTTAGCTTTTAAGCCTAGTGTTTAGTGGCAACTTCCTTTGAACCTACTGACAGTTAAACTTTTAGCGGGGGATCTGAGGGCAGCCCAGTTAAGAACATGTTTTATGTTACTCTGTTGGGTCTAAAGTTGGAATCGATCACTGCTGGAAATATATGTTTCTTTCTGGGAACTTAAGCTAATGCAGGCTTTGCTGGACATATGTTTTGGTTCCTTGGGGTCCAGTTGCCAACCACGTTTTTTGTTTTGTTTTTTTGTTGCAGGGATGGTCCCTCTTCAAATTCATGGCAATGTGTGAGCTCGTGTTTAAACAACTGAACCGTTTGTTTGTTCCTTTCAGCTGGCTGACAAATTGCTTGAACAAATCTGACCCAATGCCTGAAAAAAAAAAACTCCCCTTTAATGAGGTGATGCGTCAAGCGCGCGAGCGGATTGGGTGATTGGGTCATTCCCTCAAAGGGTGTCAACAACTGACGTTGTAATCAAATCCTGCAAGAATGTGTGGGTCCAACACCATGTGCGGAATAAAAAGCGTCAAGCTGTGTTGATTGTGTGCAGGTTCCCTATATGCATGTGTGTGTGTGTGTTTTTAGGGTACCCATTTTGAGGTCGTGTGTTTGTTTGATGGGGAAGCCAAAAGGAAACCCCCCCGTTTTGGGGGCTTCCCCGTTTAGAGACTGCCCAAAGGAGGGGGAGCCGACAGCAGCCACGCGCGGACAGAGGCCGTGCACGACATCGTCTCTGGGGGTGAGCCCCTCTTGCCGATTGAGGCTGCGCGAGATGGGACGTCAGCTTGCTGCCTAAATAATTACCATAGCCTTTTGCTACTTACTCCTGTATGCCCAGAAGCCTAGAAACCTACAAGCCGAAAAGCCCATGCACCAGCTTAAGGACACGCATGGCACACGGACACAGAGAGTGACAGAGATGCTGAGGGTTGGTTTCCTTTAGGTTTCCGCTTCAAACCCACATCGAGATGTTTCGTTCGCGGTTCACATGAGTCGCTCTTATCTCCCATTTGTCCTGTTTCAATTTGTCCCTTTCCATTGACATGGCCATGACTTTTAAGATTGAGGGCATCAAAGATTGTGTGGATGCTAACTTTTGCACGGTTTGTTCAAGGGCAGAGGGCTACCATTTTTGTCGGGAATCCCGTCTTTCAGGACACTCCTGTATATGCAATCAATTTCTAGTTATTGGCACCTTCAGCAGTTGATCACATGGATGCTATGTCCCAAAATCCGGGAGGATGGACACACCAGGACATGTGACGGGTTGTTTTCGCACACACGCAAATGAGCTAGTTTGCGAGCTAAGATCCTATTGACATCAAAAACTCACCATTGAGCCTTGGGAGGTTTAGACTCTGGCGAAAAAGCAAAAAGCCGGTTTAATGGGCGTAGTCGCTGATCTTCATGCCTTTCCTTGGCTCTTTTCCTACAACGGCAAGATGCTGAGCCTGCAGTTCGTTGCTCAGGTTAACATTCTCCCAGGAATGCGAAACCTCGTCACCTTCGGTGGGTAGTTTCCGACGCTCCGGGCAACCGGAGCCGAGAACCTCGAAGCCGAGATCCGCGAGATCTGTGCGAATGCAGCGAGCGACGCCAAAAAGCAAGCACAGCGCAACCAAAGACAAAGCGCTGAAGACCGTGCCCGCGGACAAGCCCAACCAGCATCCAGTTCCACTGCAACTCCTCGAAGCCGAAGCTGGAGGGACTGGAGTGGTCGCTGGAACGATCGTTGGAGCAATTGGGACCTCATGGAGTTCGCGGGGCTGGTCATCTGGCGGGAGGTGAAGGCAAAGTACACCAAGGAGCGCTCGTGAGAGACGGAGCAATTTGCTGATTCAGGTTCCAACCCTATGCATGTGTATGCTCCTGCCACCGACTTCAAGATCACTGACAGCAGTGTGAAAAGGTAGTCAACGGTTTGCTGCTTGCCTAGGTTTTCCCCATAGGTGGCCTACGGCTGATAACCTGAGCCCGAGGTGTTTGTTCCCGGGTTGCAACCCTTGCACCACCCATTTCCAACGAAAGATCATGCTTTATAGCGGTAAACATAATGTTAAAAGCCCAGGTGAAACTGTTCGGACGAGTGGTAAACATGTGGCTGTTTGCCCAGTTGAAACAAAACTGTTTGGACTAGTAGTAAACATTTGCTGAATTTTTGAAACTTTTTGGGCTAGTAGCAAACATCTGGGAGATCTGGCCATGTTGTTTTACCCAGGTGACACTTTTCGGACTAGTGGCAAACATCTGGAATCTGGCGTCAGACATGTTGAAACTGTTAGTGGCAAGCATCTGGAGACTGCCGCCAGACATCGTTTTGCCGAGTTGGAACTTATCGGACTAGGGGTAAACATCTTGAGGCTGGCTCCAGACATCATTTGCCCAGTTTCGTGTGGTGCCAGAGATCTCTTTGCCCAGTTGAAAGTTGTGTGGTGAGTAGACATCCAGTCATGTAGTTTTTGGGAAGAATTGAACAATCATCTACATTTACCTTGTTATATTTCGGAGTGGTGCTGTACCCTACCGCGAACATGGAAGTGCATAGACGACTTTCCTCTTAAGGGTCGTTGTGCTTTGGGGGCGTTCCCCTCCAAAAGTGGTCTCCCGGGGAGAAGCACTCAGATCTTAATAAGCAGCGTGGCTGATTAATATGGCTGTGGGTCAAAAATCGGTAGGTAAATGGAAGCATGGACCAAAACCTGCGGTCCATATCTCTCTGGTGGCTTTATTTTGACCCATATGGGGCCCAACATATGGGGCCATCCCTCGAAAGCCTCGAGGCAGATGACATGGGCCCGGGGGAGGGCTGTGTCACCGGGTTGTCGGGGCCCCGGAGAGTGGCTCGGAGCTCGTCTCTGCCCGCTGCCCGCCCGCTCACGGGCGTGAGGAACACGTATTGGGGAATTTTTGGAGGTTCCCCGACCACCTCAAAAATGGTTGCGGGACTTGAATCCTTGTGTCCGGAGGTCCGCGGTTGAAATGAAGAGCCGGTGTAGTGTGTAAATGTGCGTAAAGAGTGGACCAAGATGCTTTCTTTTGCTGAGGGGAACAACAGCTGCGGGACCTTTCTTTCTATTCAGGCATCTCCTCAAAACACGGCGGGAAGAATGGTTTTGGAACTGAGGAGTTGTAAAAGGATTCGACCAGCTTGGCGGAATGAAACAAAGAGCCCCCTGGCAACCTAGAACAACGAGATGGCTGTTCGCGGCCCCGCCTAGCCAAGGCAGGCGGGCAAGCTGAGTTTGGGGAGTCCCTGAAATCGGCACAAGATAAACCCAACGACCATCGAGTGAAGGGATTTTGATCACGAATGCCCCCCCAGTGCAAGTGCCCTTGGATGTCCTTGTAAGGCCTGTGGGGAAAACACAAGTAGCAATGCCTCACTGGCAAGGGCGGGGCTTGACTGTGAAGATGGCGAGAGTCGTTGCAATGTCAGTCAAGCAAGTTGCAGAGACTGCGTCTCTGAATCAAATGCATGTGCTGAGGTGGACGCTCATAGACTACACCATGCAGGCCCCGAGTTGTGAACGCATGTTTCATTTCGTGTCCATTGGGTTTGCTACATAAAGCCCATTGCATTGTGCCAGGAGGATGACTGAGAAGCTGGTGGCCGGATCTTGAAGGGCATTTTTGTCATGGCGAGCCTGCCCAAAGAGCAAGACGGGCATTCCACAGAGCACAAGTTTGAGGGAATCCTTCCGCATTAGGCAAGGCTCAAGTTGGACCTCTCACCCAATTTTTTCGAGGCGGCCAAGAGGAGCCCCGTACGGACCCTCGATCAGGGGCTCAAATTTCCGGCTGAGTAGCCAACAGCCTGCCATGCAAAAAAGACTTTGCAGGCAGCCTGGTTTTGCCGAATATGTTTGTGTGCTCACGGGCAAACTCTAAGACGTGCGAGATGGAAAAGAAAGTTGCTTATTTACAATATAGACATGTACAAACACCTGAATATTTGGGCTTGACGAACAGAATTCGACGAAACCAAATGACGAATATTTCCAAAAAATAGGAATTATGCTTTCACTTTATTTGTTTGATTGTTTTTCGTTATGTTTGATTTAATTTGTTTAGGTTTTGGTTTGGGTCTTGTTTGTGTTGTGGGATGAAAGATAGAAAGATGTTTCTTAGCGGTTAAAAGAATTGGGCAAATTGATAATGGGAAAAAATGATAGATAGGTTCTTCTTTTTATTTGTATATATCTTATTTTATTATATGTATTTAATTTTAAAATTGTTATTTTGTTTAATTATTATAATTTATTGTTTATTAATATTTATATGTTATAATAAAAATGTATAAGTAAAAAGATGGGCAAATAATAATTAAAAATAAAATATTGAATATATATTATAACACAAATGCATAAGGAATATAAATAATTAGAAAATGTGTACAAAAGGTTGTTTTTTTGGGAAGGAGTTATTAATTGAATTATTATTTTTTGGATTATTATGAAATATATATATTTATTAATATAAATGTTTAGATTGGAAAGGAATTGATGATGGTGAGGATGTAGGAAGCTGAGGGATTTGTTGGCGATATTGGGGATGCTGGGGATATTGGGGATGTTGGCGGGATATATGAAAGATATTGAAAATATCTTTGATAATATTAATGGATTAATATTGAATATATATATATATATTGTAAGATTATATTATAAAATTTCGTATTTTATTAATTAGGATGGGAAAAATATAATAAAAATCATAAATTGAAATTAAAAGTTTAAGGATTAATGCGAGGTATTTTTCATTGGTTTTGGTGGAGATTTTGGGCGTATATAATTTTGATATTAATTTGTTAAATTATTCGAAGGATAAATGCATGCCTTGTCGATTAGAATTTGCTTGGATGATTTAAGGAATTTTTGCGTGCGTTTTGGTTGTTTGTTGGGCGTTATTTGGCTTAGTCTTGTATTGTGATAAACCAGCTTGATGGATAAGAGACACAAACTGATCTTTGAGATTGCAAGAAACCCGAACACTGGGTTAAAAGGGATAGGCATAACTTCGATTGACTACGCTTGGCTTAAAATAGAGCTTTTGGTTGGCAATTCGGATATTTTCGGCCTGAAAAGGCTGAAACGCACATATATATGCACACTTTTCGTATTTGCGTGCAATTACGGAAATTTGAGCGATAATATCGGAAATTTGCGCACAAACTGCGGGTTGGTAGGGCGCCTAGAAACGACTAAATTTCATCTGATAGCGATTTGTTTTAACAAAATGTATGGCGCAGGCACGGTCCTGGAGTAAACAGTGGATCCGGGCACATCCAGGATATGCTTGCGAGCTTGGATCTATTTATGGAGGCCAAGCCAGTGCCAAAATCAATGACCACAAGTGTCAAGTCTAGGTGATGGGTGGTACTTGTGCCGGGTGCTATATGTGCAATAAAATGTATATATAAATAATGCCTGGATTGAAATATCAAAGGAATTATATTTAAGATATAACCATAAGAGATTTCAATAAACAGCTGCGCCGGCACGGGAACGAGTAACGCAATATCGATTGTTTCCATAACTACTGAGGAGTTTTATCCGAAAAGTGCATATATCCTGGAAAAATACACAAATTCCAAAAACACATGCAATCATACCACAAAACGCACAAACAAGAATATGAGCAGAAAAAAGTGCGCAAACAAAGATACAGGTTTATATTTATTTAATATTTCTTTATGAAATTTATTTATTTCCGATTTATTTTTATATATTTATTTGTTATTTGTGATTTTATTTTCCTTCGATTTCTTTTTCTATTTACAATATGTTATTTGTAATATATTCCTGTTGTGTTTCCTTTTCTTTCTTTTAATATGATATTTATTCTCGATTAATTTATATATTATTTATGTTTTTTTTTAATATATTCGGATGGAATTCCTATAATATAATTTAATTATATGTTTTTTCTAAATTTTGTTTTTCTTTTTTTTTGTTTTATTTTTAGTTTTGTTTTTTTTTATTCTTTATTTCTTTCTTTATTTATTTTTTGGTATCTTTTTTTTTTTGTTTTTCTATCTTTCTCTTTTTCTTTTTTTTTCATTTAATTCTTTTTGTTTCTTTATCTCTTTGTCCTAGTTCTCTGGCTCTTTGTTTCGTTGTTTCTATATCTTTTTGATTTTTTGGTGTTTGTATATATATCTTTTTGTATTGCTTACTCTTTCTTTATTTTTATTTCTTTTTATATCCTTTTATGGGTATTGAATCTTTATTATTCTATATTTTGTTGTTGCTCTATTTCTGCACCTCGTTGTGTTTTTTTTTTTGCCTTTATTGTTTTGCTTCTCGGCTTCATTTTTACTTCTTGATTTCTCCATTTTTCGGTTTTAGGAGTTTTGCCCCTCTATTTTGTATTTCTGTGCCTCTTTATTTCTTTTATTTTTTATTTCTTTGTTTTTCTATTTCTTTATATTTTACCATGTTTACTCTTGTTTATATTATTTCGGAGATTGAGATTTATTCTTTATTTGTTGTTTTAAATATTATTTATGAACTATATTAATTGTTTTAAATAATTTATCTTTAGCGATAATTATGTTAGTCGGATTTTAATATAGATAATTTTGTTATATATATGTTTAAAAATAATTAAATCTATGGAATAATATTATGATGTTTTATTAGTCGTGCCGACCGCGTTGGGGTTTCGAGGTAAAAAGAAATTTCGAATTGTGCTTGGTTATAAATTACACAATAATATGGAATTCCTTAAAGACTTAATGAAATTTATGGGATTTCTTTGGGGCAGATTTAAGGGGGAGGTTATGCTATTTTGCGGAATATTTAGCAAGAATTAGGTTCGCCTTAAATATTCGTTGACATTATATTTGCATTCGTTTTTCTATTACGTTTACGCAGACCCCACGCCGATTTATTGAAGCGCCGAAATTAATGATCTTTATTGCCCAACATGTTTTTTATTATTTATATTTGTTCGATTTTTTTCCCATGAAATATATTAAATCCTAATATATAATTATATTTAAAAATCATGTTTGCCTAACATCTTACTCTAAATATTCCAAAGTAGCTCGCTAATGGATTCCGCCGAATATCCCGCCAGAGTAATTCGCTAATCGATTTCGTCGAATATTCTATTAGAGCAGCCCGCTAATGGATTTCGTCGAGTATCCCGCCAGAGGTCGAATTTCTCGTTAGTATCGAATCGAAGCGATTCATCAACATTCGCCAATAGATCCCATCAATATCCCGCTAAAGCAGCTCGCAAATCTAGTTTTGCTTAATGTCTAATAGGGCTAGTGGGAATTTTGAATCGATATCTTTAAAAATGGAGGAATTTGATATAACGATCATAAACTCGTGAGTGTAGAGGATAGGGATTACTCGAAATATATCTTAACTAAATATCAAACCATCGAAATATTATTATATCATCAAAATATATTTAGTTATTTAATCGAATCAATAAATTATAAAAAACAAAAATAATATAAACACATTATTTAAATTTACAACAAATTTTCAGAATATATTAATTTCAACAATAATATAAAACCACATATTTCTAAGTATAATATAAAATATGTCTTATATATCCTTAAAAATCCTTTTAAAGGAAGGCCTTCCCATTTTTTTAGTTTTATTAAATTTTATTTAACGGTATTAAACGATATTAAATAGCAATATCTTTTATTAATTTTTATCAATTAATTATATTAAATCCTAAATTATTTCCCAGAATTCTAGTTAAAATATCTTAAAAACATGATTTCTTTTTAAAAAATAAACATAAAAGGGGGTAATAGGGGGAAAGGAGGACGGGAGAGGGGGGAAAAGACGGAAAGAGAGGGGAAAGGAAAACAAACCGGGGAAATCAAAAATATAACCCAAACCCTAGAGAAAGAGAAACCTTCCCACCATATTAAGTCTTCTTAAGCCATAAAATTCATTTAATATGCTAATGTGTATTTAAAATAATATATTTATTATATAAATAATACATTTTACATATTTTATATTATTTATTCAATTTATAAACAATAAAATAAATCAAATTTATTTCAATTATTTCGATTCGAGCAATCCCCACCCTCACGAATTTACGATCGTGATAACAAATTCCTCCATATCCTAGAAATTTCGATTCCATATTCCTAACAGCCCATAAATGCAACACACCACGTACCCAAAATGCGCCACGATAAAAAACTAATAAATATAATAATCAATACTAAAAAATAAAAAATATTTATGTTATAATATGGTTATGTGAATTCAATTAAATTCAAATATTATGTTCGAATATTTTCGGGCCTACAATTATTCAATAAGCTTTACATTAAAAACCTTATCCATCTATCTATATAGTAAATTTCATTATTTACAAGCCAATCTCGAAAACCCAAATCAATGTTGTTTCGGTAATAAAAACCAAATCAATCCAAAAAAAAATCCAATATAAAATTAAACGAAATTATTTATTCATAACCCAAAACAATACACTATCCTTTCCGAACCTCAACATACATTCAAAATACGAAAATTACGCCAAACAACACATTCAACAAAACCAAACTATCGAGTTATTCTCACGAAATACTAACAATTAAACACATAATTATTTAAATAGCAAAATACATTTTTTTTTCCATAAAATCAATTCAATTCCTCTATCATTATTAATATATAC